ACATCTGGCAGACCCTGATATTTTTACTGTCACTGTAGCTTTGTCTGTGCCTGAATGTCAACTAAGTGCACCCATTCAGTATGCACGTGGCTTACTTCATGTAGCAATGGGCAGTTAAGTTTCCATCCTGCCTTTTTGTACCTCGTATATTATTTCTTTCTAATCACTGACTAATATGCTATGTGAGTGGATGTATCAGTGTTTATTTATTCATTCACCCATTGAACTTCTTGATCACTTTCCATTTTTGGCGATTAGGAATAAATATTCATGTGCACATTTTTTTTTGGTGGGTGTAGGTTTTCAGCTCATTTGGGGACCTAAAGGCACAGTTGCTGGATCATATGGTAAGATGATGAGAATATGTTCAGTGTGGTAAGGCACTCTGACATGTCCTGCACATTTGCATTCCCACCCACAGTGGCTGGGTTCCCGTTGTTCTTTCTCAGCAGCGTGTGGGATCTGTGTTTTGGATTTTAGCCCTTCAGATGCATGGGATGTGCTGCCTCATTGACGTCTCCACAAGGACATTGATGAAAACCTTTCCCCAGGCTGATTTGCTGTGTGTGTGCTCTTCGTGGTGACACCTCCCTTCATGCCTTTTCTATTTTAGTTGGATGCTTAAATTCTCTTTAAGGTTCATCTTTTATTTATTTGAAAGGCAGGGTTACAGAGAGAGGAGAGGAGAGAGAGAGATCTTCCATCTGCTGGTTCGCTTCCCAAATGGCCACAACGGCCAGGGCTGGGCCTGACCAAAGCCAGGAGCCAGGAGCTTCTTCTGGGTTTCTAACATGGGTGCAGGGTCCCAAACACTTGGGCCATCCTCAGCTGCTTTCCCCAGGCACAATTGCAGAGACCAGATCAGAAGTAGAACAGCCAGGTCTTGAACCGGCGCCCATATGGAATGCCAGCACAGGCAGAGATTTAACCTGCTATGCCACAGTACCAGCCCCTTGGTTGGATTTTTAAATTTATTTTCTTACTGAATTTGAGAGGTTCTTTACATACTCTAAATACTAGTCCTTTGTCAATTGTTTCACAACTATCCGAAGTCCAGAATCAAAGTGTTGGTGGGATTGGTTCCTATTAGACACTCAGGGACAACATGTTCCACGCCTCTATTCCTGACCAGTTCTTTGCATTACTTGGCTAGCAGCTGTGTCGCTCCACCTTCTGCCTTCATCCTAAAGACGACATGAGACCCTGGGTTACCCTGAAAGAATTCAGTTAACAATCTAGAATTCAAGTAGAATCTGAAGAAGATATGTAAGGAATAAAACGTTATATAGAGTAGGATTTTTATTTCTCTGTGGTAACAAGGGGAGAGAAAACTCATTTGGGGAATTACTAATTTTGCTATCTTTTTTTTTAAAGATATATTTATTATTATTTGAAAGGCAAAGTTACAGAGAAGAAACAGAGAGAAAGGGAGAGAGAGATCTTCCTACCTCTGGTTCTCTCCCCAGATGGCTGCAATGGCTGGGGCCAGGCCAGGTCAAAGCCAGGACCCCCTAACTCCATCTGGGTCTCCAAGGGCCCAAGCATTTGGGCCATCTTCTGCTGTTTTCCCAGGCTTATTTTCAGGGAACTAGATTAGAAATGAAGCAACCAGGACTTGAACCAGTTACTCATATGGGATGCCATATCGCTTAACCCACCATGCCACCATGTTGGCCCCGTGTATCATATTTTAAAGGAGGAACTTATTCGTGATCCAATAACATTACTACATTTCAGTGGCAGCAGCAAGCTTAGCTCGTACTTCTACCATCAAGGTATGTGGGGTTAACACTGACAGCTTTAGCTGGACCATGTGAAAAACTGCAGTTCAACATGGCACAGACAGTAAGTAGACTGTTGATTTTATTCACATAGTATAGAAGGTTCTTGAAGGTGAATTTAGTTAAATACGGTTTAATTCAATGAACCTCAGGAATTCAGAAGAATCGTGGGGCAACAAGAGAGTGAGTGGCCGACTTGTCCATCCCTCTGCTCTCGGAGATTCCTGGCAGCAGAGGGAAGGACTGGACTCTGAGATAGACAGACATCCCCCCTTGTCTTTCCACAGCCACAGTGTTCAATTCCAATGTCACCTTAGTTTTCTTGATTCCCTCCAAGAGCAAGAGACTCTTGGCAGCTTGGGTTGAATTTTCTGAAGTCTTCATGTCCACCCCACACCCCTACAAACATGTCCAGGTCTGAAAACCCCAGGGAAGAAGCATCCAGGCCCAGTCTGCAGGGTTTCCCCCTCTTGGCACCTGTCGTTGAGTCCAGCGTTGCATGTCCTGTATTGACCAAACCTGTGTGCTCCTGGACTCTTCCAGTCTTGTGCCATTTGTGAAACAGGAGAACAGAGCCATTTAGCACAGTCTCTCAGAATCCTTCCACAATGGTGTATTGTCTTTGGGCTGATGCATTTCTGACTGTGATGTGGGCCCTATCGTGGGGTGCATTTCCTAATGTGAGCTCTAATAAAGGAAAAAAATGTCGTAAAAGATGGTGGGCTCTGTCGCACAATTTGATTCACGTCTTTGAGGTCTGTCGGTGCTGCCCGACCCAGACTGGAGGTGGCGCAAGGCATTGCTCATAGCAGGAAGGCAGTTCCTTTTTGAGCTTTTGCGTAACAGACCACATTGGAGCCTGATTGCTCTCGTAATCCCTCTGCTCCTCATTCACCCACTCGCAAGAGCAAGCAGATGTACTGATTTCTCCTGCTGAGCTTCAACATCAAGTCTTACTTGCCCGTGCTCCTTTCCAATTTCATTTATCTGTAATCCGCCAGCATTTCCCCTTTTTCCAGCATAATTACGATGCATGCTGCCTTTCTTTTGAGTGTTTACTATGGCTTACTGAATTTATAGTTGAACACCAGCCAGTGCTCATTAAAAATGTGTCGTCTTCTTCATTAAAGTGACGTCTCACATATAACACAGTTTGCAGGAACCCAGGATGATATATTAACACCAGTGTTTTGAAGAAGCTAAACATTACATGGAGTGTGTGACTTACTGAGATATTTTTTGAAACTTGACAACTGCTTCTCCAAAAATGTGGGTGGCTGTGAGAGAACCATTGATTGCCAATTGAATTATTTTTCAGTTAACTGTGGGTCATTGCCCAACAGGTGCAACTTCTACAAGGTTTTATGTTCCTTCCACCGATGCTGCAGCATTTTCTTAAATGTCATTTTTGTTGAATATTCTGTAATGCTATTAATCATGAATAAAAACCAACTAATTACTAGTATTCCATTGAAAAATCACCCATCTAAACATGCTAACAAATGCCCTTTTAAGCATATACTGAGTTAAGATTTTTCCTTTAGAATCTCTAAAGTGAATTAAGTTTGCACTTTACTCAACAAACAACTTTACACTTTTTTGTGTTTCCTGGTTTGCCATCACTAATTTTTTGATGGGTTTGTCAGAGTTGTTTATAATTAATGTGTGGATTTTAGAATATACAATTGAGAATGTAGTATACTTAATCTCCTTTGCATTAGATTTTACATTTCTAGAGTGACTTTTTTGTTTTCTCATTGTGTAAGACCATTTCATTAGCTTTAACCTTTTCCTTAAATGTCATAAGAGGAAATGCTCTCGGAAGCCTGATATTTGAGACTGTCGGCTCACTGATGCCATTTGTTTTTCCCATTCATCTTGATCCTCATGGCTTCCCAAGTTCAACATAAGTTGCAGTTTTCAGAAACTTCCATCTCATCAGTATTTTCAAACATGTTAAAATTTTTTAAACTATGTCCTTGTAATTGTAAAACCATTCCTAAATTTTCTCTAACTGAATTTCCCCAGAGGCTTAATAATTCTTTCAGTAAGTAGTTCCCACGTGTATTCGATTCTGTAGGTTTGGGCATTTTTTTACAGGCAAGTATTAAGAAAATTTTCATTTTGCAAATTTTAAAGAAGTTTTTGTAGTTTTAGAGTTTTGCATTCTTTGGAGAACTTTCACAGTGTCATTTTTGTAAATGTGCATGCACTTGGCTGCTTCGCTGTTTTTCAGTTTCTCTGTGGGGTTTACCGACAAATATTGCAAAAGAATTAAAATACTTTGTCTTTTGGTTAGAATTCAGTGCTCCTTAGTTCTGCAAAACTTACCAAGTCGCTTCATCACGATGACTTTATTTCATCAAAATATTAGACTTTTAAAAGATCTCCCATCCGCAGGCCCACCCACTCCCCAAATGGCCCCAACTGCCCGGGCTGTGCCAGGCCCGAGCCAGGAGCCCGGACCAGGCCTCCCACGTGGGCGCAGAGGCTTTGGGTCAACCTCGGCTGCTTTCCCAGGCGCATTAGCCAGGAACTGGATGGGAAGTGGAGCAGCCGGGACTCAAACCGGCGCCGCTATGGGATGCCAGTGCCACAGATGCCACCCCCAACGCCCCCACCTCTCCGTGTACGCCCCGAAACTGTTCTTAAGCCTTTTTGGAAAAGCAAGCTCCCTCTTAGAAACCGTGGGTGACTCAGAAGAGCCTCTGGTTCCGGTTCGGGCTGATGCTCCCACTAAGCTGCAGCTCACTCGCTGGGGCTCACAGCCCTGCGGTGCTACTCGCTCAGGACCCGGGGGCGGCAGCAGCACCTGCTGTCGCTGTCACTGTCCAGGCACAGGTGGCCAAGGCCGATGCTGGTGTCGCGCCGCCTCTGGCTCCTGGGCCCGGCTCATGCAGGACCGCAGCGCAGTACCAGGGAGACGCCGCCATGACGCATGGGCCTAGGCACACCTGGGCTCGGGCCCGCCAAGCGACGGGAGCCCACCGCGGCCCCGCAACGCGGCAGTTACACCCCCAGAAACTGCCGTTAAGGCGGGGATGCAGTCTATTTATATTCCGATGGCAGATTGTGGCTTGTCACCTGATTGGCTGAGGGCTATTAGCCAATCAGGGAATCTCGCTGATATCGCCTCATTTACATACCCCCTGTTACCCATCATCCAATCAGGCGTTGGATGCCCTATACGTCACTGGAGCGCTGTGCCTATAAATACGGCCTTTGTTGCGTTGTCAGATGCTGTTGGGTTTTTAACGGCTGTTGGAGGTGAGCTTCCGCCATGCCGGAGATAACTTCGAAGGGTGCCACGATTTCAAAGAAGGGCTTCAAGAAAGCTGTCACGAAGACCCAGAAGAAGGAAGGGAAAAAGCGCAAGCGCAGCCGCAAGGAGAGCTACTCCATTTACATCTACAAGGTGCTCAAGCAGGTGCACCCCGACACCGGCATATCCTCCAAGGCCATGAGCATCATGAACTCGTTCGTCAGCGACATTTTTGAACGCATTTCTGGCGAGGCGTCGCGCCTGGCGCACTACAACAAGCACTCAACCATCACGTCGCGCGAGATCCAGACGGCCGTGCGCCTGCTGCTGCCCGGCGAGCTGGCCAAGCACGCCGTGTCCGAGGGCACCAAGGCCGTCACCAAGTACACCAGCTCCAAGTGAGGTGATTGCCACCTCGCAAGAGACTTCCTAAACCAAAGGCTCTTTTCAGAGCCACCCACCTCTGCTCTAAAGGGCTGTAGGCTGTGGGTGCTGGTTCCGGCCTCATCACCACGATGACAAACCCCTGGGCTAGTGAAGAGGGAGTCGAGTGGTTTCTGGTGGCAGTTGACAATCCTTGCTATTCCCTGGCTGCAGAATTGCGATCACTTGGTCCCTGCTTTCGCTTGGCCCTCTTGTTTGCACCTGTGTCGGGTGACCTTTGCCTTGGTTTCATAGTGACGCCCATCATTGGGCTTGGAGCCCATCCAGAATGATCTCGAATTTGAAAACCTGTGCAAAACGCCCGTGTTCCAAGTAAGGTCGCATTCAAAGGTACTAGAGATTAAGATCTGGATGTAGTTCTTCTGTGGGAAACAATTTAAGCCACTACAGTTTATCTACAAATAAACTACCCTAAGCGGAAGCTTGAAATTGATTCAAGCAAAATTTAGATCATACTATCTTGGCTGAAATACCTTAAATGGTAGACAATGCAAAACCTTTTTTGGTCAATTAACTTTCCCTTTTCTATGAAACAGGTTTTTCATTCATAAATTTTTAATGGTCTGCACCTCATCCTAGAAAATAAACCCCATGATTTTACGGACCTCTGTTATATTGTTCCCTTAAGTACACACACCATCCGATGAGAGAAAGTTTCAAGAGCGAAAGGAAGGGAAATAAGTTTAAACTTTCCTGGAAAAGAAAACCAGAAGTGGGTGGGGGGGGAGGTGGGGATGCAGCCATTTGTCTCTGCCTCCCCCTTGGCCCTAAGCTGCTAGTTCTGGCTGACTGGGAGCAAAGCAGTGAAGGCGTGAGATGGTCTGGCCCCCTTTGGTCCCCTCTGGCCCTCTCTGGCCTTGCCCTAAATACCTCACCTGAGATCAGACCAGAAGTTTCCCTTTCGAGGGCTGCTTTCTCTCTCTCTCTCTCTCTCTCTCTCAGCAAGCCTTTCTTTTTCTGGGTTCAAAGCCGTTCTGATGACTTTGTGCTAATTAGAGCATCCGGGTTTCTAAATAGACCCTTTAGCCAGCCCTAGCTTTCTGGGGCCTCTTATCCTCTCTGCTCAATGACATTGCAAAACCACAGTCCCCAAGCAGGACAGACAGCCATGATCACTCTTGCTTCCACGGCAATTACCCAAATTACAAGACTTGTTTGTGACTGTGCCCAAACCCAGTAACACGTATACAGTGACTAATCAACAAACCTTCAAAGAAGTGGTATGTTCAGCATTGATCATGTGCCTCTGTTATCTGGGCGCTGACTTGTGGGCTGAAGAGCCAGCAGTGAACTTTGTAATTGATGCAATTGCCCATGACAATATACCATGGTAAATGAAATTTAAACCATCTTGTTGGGCAACTGGTGTTGTTACACTGTGGCAACTGAAATGCATTTGTATCAACATAGCACAATGTCACGACAGCCTCTACCAAGCAAGCATCCACCCAGGAAGCCAGGAAAATTAAATTGAACCATGGAACCAGAAAGGCTAAATAATGAGAAAATTTTAAAAATAATAATTATGAAAAAAGTAAAAATTCAAAAGTAAAGAAACAATAAATTCATATTTTTCAAAAAATAAAAGATTAATAATGTGGTTTGTTAAAAATAAAGGACACAAAGAATAAAGGAGTTGTTATAAACACAACAGTGACAATCATTAAGAGAAAAATGTGCTTAAAGCCAGATTAAGTTTCTTACAAAACATAACAAAATTTATTTCAAATTAGCAAATCTAAAGGGGGCAAATTCATAATAAAAGAAAAGTAGGGGCCAGCCCTGTGGCGTAGCAGGTAAAGCCACTGCCTGCAGTGCCAGCATCCCATATGGGCGCTGGTTCATGTCCCAGCTGCTCCATTTCCAATCCAGCTCTCTGCTATGGCCTGGGAGAGCAATAGAAGATGGCCCAAGTCCTCGGGCCTTTGCACCAGTGTGGGAGACCCAGAGGCTGGCTCCTGGCTTCGGATCAGCGCAGCTCCAGACGTGGCCATGTGGGGAAGATCTCTCTCTTCCTCCTCTCTCTGCCTCTGCCTCTCTGTAACTCTGCCTTTTAAATAAATAAATAAATCTTTAAAAACAAGAGAAAAGAAAAGCGTTGTCACTCCAAGAAAGAGTCCCAACTACAAATCGTCACAAAGGAATTTTACCAAAGTTTTAAAAGAGAATTCCAGTGTTGTGCAGTTCTAAACAAGACAGCTACTCTCCCTATTATTTATGAATTGGATTAAGTTATAGCAAAAACTGAACACTGCACATGAAAAATTGAATCTGTAATACTGAAATTTCAAATAACACATTGGTGAGCAGAATTCAGCAGAACACTAACTGAATAGCTTGATGCTCAAGCAGGAATTTATAGAATACAAGGATGGCTTAATATTAGGAAGTCTTTTAAAACAACCCATCACAATATATCTAAAGATGAAATATCTGTAAAAGACAACAAAATTCAACATTCTTTTTTTTTTTTTTTTTTTTTTTTTTGACAGGCAGAGTGGACAGTGAGAGAGAGAGAGACAGAGAGAAAGGTCTTCCTTTGCCGTTGGTTCACCCTCCAATGGCCGCCGCGGCCAGCGCGCTGCGGCCGGCGCACCGCGCTGATCCGATGGCAGGAGCCAGGAGCCAGGTGCTTTTCCTGGTCTCCCATGGGGTGCAGGGCCCAAGCACCTGGGCCATCCTCCACTGCACTCCCTGGCCACAGCAGAGGGCTGGCCTGGAAGAGGGGCAACCGGGACAGAATCCGGCGCCCCGACCGGGACTAGAACCCGGTGTGCCGGCGCCGCAAGGCGGAGGATTAGCCTAGTGAGCCGCGGCGCCGGCCCAACATCCATTCTTGACATGACACTCTCAATGAGTAGACAGAGAATTCTTCCTCGCTGTAGTATATATTTAATCGAGAACAATGCAGAACACTCTTCAAAACAATGACACAGAAAGTCTGAGCTCATTCCTGCTATTTCACATTGTTGGAAAGGTGCAAGCCACTAAAACAAGACAGAAATGAGAAGCGAGGATAAAAGGCACCAAAGTGCTGGTTATTTTCTGGTCATATTGCAAACATGCAAAACCCAACAGAATCTACAAGAAAACAAAAATAATTCAGTGAAGTGATGAGATACAAAATGGTACACAGTAAGCAACCTTTCATATAAAACAAAATGGTAGACATGAATAAAGAAATGCCTCATTTATAGTAACAAAAATACCTAGGATTACATTGTTTAAAAAGGCAAATTTGGTGCCAGCCCTGTGGCACAGCAGTGTAGCAGGTAAAGCTGCCACCTGCGATGCCAGCATCCCATATGGGCACTGGTTCAAGTCCTGGCTGCTCCATTTCCTATCCAGCTCCCTGCTGATAGCCTGGGAAAGCAGCAGAGGATGGCCCAAGTGCTTGGGGCTCTGCATCCACTTAGGAGACCCAGATGAAGCTCCTGGCTCCTGCTTGAAACTGGTTCAGCCCTGGCCATTGTGGCCACTTGGGGAATGAACCAGCAGCTGGAAGATATCTATCTATCTCTCTTCTCCCTCCCTCTCTATCTCTCTTTCAGGTAAATCTTTTTTAAAGTCAAATTTCTATGAAAACAACTGACTAGTCCCTATGTGTCACGGGTCCCTGCAGATCAGTGACGCGGGCAGAGGCTAGAGCTGGGCTGTTCTAAAATACAGACCTCAGTTGTTCTCTGGGAGGCTTTCCTGGCACTCAAGAGCCAGCGGCATAAATAATCTCTTCCTGCCTTTACTTTGTGTCCTCTCTGCATGAATGCATAGAACTCTGAACAGCATAGGATCAGAGAACAGGAAGGACAGAGGCAAGAAGAACGCAGACGAGAGAGCCACAGAACACGTGGGAGTTCTGTGCCTCATCGGCGGCACCACCTCAGCTAGTTCAGTTGGTGCTGTACTGGCACTCCATATATGTAAAAGCTGCATCACGTTTGGTTTAAAAGGAGCTTTTATTAGCACTTCTACTTACCTTTTGCCCAAATAATCCTGCGTTCTCCAGGAACCAGAGTAGCCTGTTGAATGTGATCATAGTATTAACCGAGATTTGGGATCCGTGGGACATCTTCTGCCTCCCAGCGCCTTAAATGGACACCCAGATCTTCGACTAGAAATGATGGTGCCCCCTACACAATGTGGTCACAGAATCTCCATCAGTCACAGCCTCTGAGAAGGCCCAGCTGAGGCAACAGGGGCTCTGTAGGGGTGCTCTCAGTATGTACAGGGGGATGGGACACAGCATTCTACTGTACAGACACTACCAAACAACACCGAAGCCTCCGAAACTCATGCTGTGGATTTTAATGTACAAATGACAGGATTTCAGAAACCGGTAATGTGAGCCTTAAGGTTAATTCAGCGTCAGTGCTTGCTGTTTGGTGATATGCTGGTACGTGCACAGCCACTCTTTCTAATGATCCGGCAAGTGTTCACACCACACCTCCTAAGGAAAGTGGAAACTGTTAACTCCCGTTTGCTAATTGTCTTTAGGTAACGTTGCAACATGTAGTACCTGAGAAACATAGCTAGGCTTCTACATGCTCATAGATAGGGCAACGTGCCTTTATGAAGCGCAGATAACTTTGCAAATGTAAAGGGCGTCAAAGAAACCTTAGCCTCAGCAGCTTGAGGGGAGCCTGCAGGAGCAGTTCTCACCTGCACAGCACTGTTAGGGTTAAGAAAATCAGCTTCCTGTACCCCAAAAGACAGCTCTAGGGCCTTCCAGGCATTTTTTCAACTATAGATTGGACGCTCAGCATCCATAATAGCACTACTGCTCTCTCAAAGGCAGCTCTCTGGGTAGTGTGGCTTCTGCAGGTGCTCCTGTAACTAAACCCTTGCCCAAGTGCCTGAGGGTTTGATTGCAGCCTTGAAACTGGAAGAGGAAGCTTGGGAGGATACAAGTAACCGTTTCAACTCCAGAAATCTAGGCCACTAAGGTCGTTGCAGCCTGAAGCACTGGAGGGTCTGAATCTCCCAAGACCACCCCGGGACCCTCCTGAGACTGCCAAGGGGAGCCTACAGCTCTTCCTTCAGGAAGTCATGTGGCTCTGAAAAGAACCTTTGGGGCATGAACTTATTTGGGAAGTTTATGTGGACTCAGTGACAGCCATGGGGCCTCTGGACACCACCTGCTTGGCCAGCTCCCCAGGAAGCAGCTGGCGCCTGGCTGTGTAGGTCTTCCTGGGTGTGACAGTGGAGCAACCATTGTCCTGTGCCACCTGCAGCACCTCTCTGGAAATCCGCTCGAGAACGTCACTAACAACCTTGGAAGAAACTCGTGTCTGCAGGCACCTGCTTAGCGCCTTGCAGACATGAAAACGGCTCTCTTTCAGACAGCTTTTCCACTGTTCTTCCTCCTTCTGGGTATTTGCGGCAGTTTTGAAACCCCCCTTGGAAAGATTGGCACCCTTGGAGAAATCTTAGACCTAACTAAATATGCAGCTCCGGTGTTTACTTGAGTAAAAAATGTGCGGGAGCAGAAAGACTGTTAATTACGCACGCGGCTCTACAATAACCGTTAACGATCGGATGCCCGATTGGGCAACCGTTAGTGACATGTATGCAAATTAGGTGATTCCAGTAAGGCTTTCTGATTGGATAGATGGCCCTTAGCTGGCCTATAAATAGGCCCAGTCTCAGCGCTGAAGCTTGATTCTTTGAGGAGCCAGTTCGCTGGTCATGTCTGGCAGAGGGAAGCAGAGTGGCAAGGCGCGCGCCAAGGCGAGGACTCGCTCCTCCCGGGCCGGGCTCCAGTTCCCCGTGGGCCGCGTCCACCGCCTGCTGCGCAAGGGCAACTATGCAGACCGGGTGGGCGCCGGCGCCCCCGTGTACCTGGCGGCCGTGCTCGAGTACCTGACGGCCGAGATCCTGGAGCTGGCGGGCAACGCGGCGCGCGACAACAAGAAGACGCGCATCATCCCGCGCCACTTGCAGCTGGCCATCCGCAACGACGAGGAGCTCAACAAGCTCTTGGGTGGGGTGACCATCGCGCAGGGCGGCGTGCTGCCCAACATCCAGGCCGTGCTGCTGCCCAAGAAGACCGAGAGCCACCGCCACAAGGCGCAGAGCGTGTGATGCCTCCGAGCCACGAGTCCTACCGGGGGATGTGAATTGCCAAAAGGCTCTTTTCAGAGCCACTCAGAGTCTCAGGGAAGGCTGTGCATAGGCTGAGGACTAACCGAATTCCCCAGGAATTAAGTAAATTACCATCGTAACTTAGCCATGGGACCCTCCAGAGGCTCCTGGGTTCTGTAAGTGCGTTATTTGGTTACTGGAAGCGATATAAGACCCTTAAATATTGAGAAAATTTCTTTAAAAAACTTGGCTTTTGTGGGCCAGGGTAGAGCTCTTGGAACAGCTGTTGTGGCAGAGAAAATGGCCTTTTCGAGTCGCCACGTTCCCGTTTCTGGGGCCCTCGGGAGGAGTGGACTCCAGCGCTGTAACACTGACGACCATGCAGGCTCTGAGGCTGTGCAGACAGCTTCGGTTTATACCGCCGCGGGTTCAAGGCTGTATGACGACCAGCAGCGGGGATGCCTAATCCTGGAACTTCCTAGTTCAGTCGGGGCAGCTGTTTTACCAGCCTGTGTGCGTTTTCATTCTGAGCTCCGCTCCTACAAGGTAAGAGTTCAAGGCTGAGTTCAGTGCCCAAGTGAGTAGACTGGAAAGTGACTGAACGTACAGACACCCATCACGGGGGGGCCAGAGTTGCCTGTGACAGCGCATGGGAGGCCCAAAAAGGACCCAAAAGCAAGCGCCAGAAAAAGAACTAAAAGGGTGGGCGCTCCCACGTGTAACGGGCACCGTTCTGGGGTACTGGGAGCCTTAACGGCGGCGTCTGGGCGGGTTTCCTGTGTGTGAGGCTTTCTGGGAGTTTCATGGCGCGTCTACTCCACGTGACCAACAACGGCTTTTCCTCCTTCCCCTCCCGGACGGGACCCAGGTGAATCATGGGAAAATGGGTGGAACTGATTGACAAGAAAGGGGTGGAGTTACGAAGCAGGGCTAGAGCAGAAATGACTAGGAACATCCTTTGGCTAACCTGTTCCTACCAAATCTTCCTGCCTAGTTCCCCCATATCTGTTTACACTATATTAGGCATTCTAACAACGTTGTGGGGTTTCTCAAAGTTCTTCTGGAGAAATATTTCCAAATAGGTTTATATCACTCTCATGAAATCTTTATAGAGTAAGGCAAGTTAATCATCCCATTAGGTGAAGCCAATGAGACTTTGACATGTGTAACTTCATACACTTTGAAGGAATTAGATTTTTTTTCCCATTGTAGAGCAAAATTTATCACAGGAGTCTTAAACCAAATGTGATGGTAAGATACCAGTGTCAGTCTCATCAGAGGCAGGAGCGTAACAAGAAGGCCACCTGCAGGTATTTAAAATTATTCAGTAATTTGGGGAAATAATATTTCAAAAATGTTAACTACTAAAAGACAAAATAGCTTGTTGATATGTTTGAACTCTACATATCCATGTAAATTGGATAGCCAGTTATCATTTAGCAAGTCCGTATCTACAAAACAAAAATTAGTGCACAATATTCAACAGTTTACCTTATCTTAAAAATTCTTATTGGTGGCCGGCGCCGCGGCTCAGTAGGCTAATCCTCCGCCTTGCAGCGTTGGCACACTGGGTTCTAGTCCCCGTTGGGGCACCGGATTCTGTCCCGGTTGCCCCTCTTCCAGGCCAGCTCTCTGCTGTGGCCAGGGAGTGCAGTGGAGGATGGCCCAATTGCTTGGGCCCTGCACCCCATGGGAGACCAGGATAAGCACCTGGCTCCGGGCTTCCGATAGGAGAGGGTGCGCCGGCTGCGGCGGCCATTGGAGAGTGAACCAACAGCAAAAGGAAGACCTTTCTCTCTGTCTCTCTCTATAAGTATCCACTCTGCCTGTCAAAAAAAAAATTCTTATTGGTTACCTCCAAAAAGAAAAAGATATTGCTAGAGATCTACACATGATAAAACATATATAGAAGCAAATAAGGATACAAGTGTAAGGTTCTATAAGAATACACTACACAATACATGAATAAAGCCAACCCAGTTATGGACAGAACCTTCATTCCTTGAATTATCTACATAAATATTAAGGCATGCAATTGGGGAGAACCAAAAAAAGAAGGAGGGGGGATTTTTGAAAACAAAAGGAAATTGCAAATATTACTGCAAAAATTACCAAACCAAGTAATGTTAAAACATGTCAAATGTGAAACCTTTAAGATCAGGAAAGAATACTTGTTAAATGAATGAATAAGTAGATAAGGAATATAAGACAAACCTAAAGAGAAGAATTATGAATAATTTATGTGGATACTCCTGCATCAAGGGGGTGGAATCAAAGACCCCCCGACTAACCAGAGCAGAATATATGTGGAAGAGTACAGGAGAACAGATTTGATTTTATAGGAGAGAAACCTGGCCATTACCTCAAACCAAATGTCCAAGATCAGCATCATTGGTTATAATGCATGTTGATAAATTATCCTTTTGACACGGTGTGTTGAGAAGGGCATTCTACCTTTGTGATCATCTTCCCAGTCTAATCATGAGAAAAACAGGCAAGTCCAAATTGATAAACTTCTACCAAATACTTGATTATGACTCTTCAAGCCATTAAGGTCATCACAAACAATGAAATTCTTAGAAATTGTCCCAGTCCCAAGGAAGCTAACAAGACTTTATGATTAACTGTGATTTTTCAACAGGGTTTATTTATTTTGTGGGGCCAGCATTGTGGCACAGTGAGTAAAGCCGCCACCTGCAATCCCGGCATCCTATATGGGCACTGGTTCAAGTCCTGGCTGCACCACTTCTGATTCACCTCCCTGCTAATGTGCCTGGGAAAGCAGTGGAGGATGGCCCAAGTGCTTGGGTCCCTGCACCTATGTGGGAGACCCAGAAGAAGCCCAACCCAGTCCTGGCTATTGCAGACATTTATAGACTATACTGGTGAATGGAAGACCTTTTTCTCTGTATCGTCCTCTGTCTCTCTCTCTCTAGGGGGGTGACAGAGAGAAACTCCCATCTGCTGGTTTACTCCCTAAATGCCCACAATAGTTAGGCCAATCCAAAGCCAGGAGGCAAGGACCCCATCTGTATGTCCTACATGGGAGGCAGGAATTGAAGTGCTTCATCCATCGTGCCTTGCTTCCCAAGAGCATTCCCAGGAAGCTGGATGAAGTGCAGAGCAGGCAGAACTCAAACTGACACTCTGATATGGAAGGCAGATGTCCCAAGCAGCAACATAACCCACTGCACCAAAACAGCCACCTCCACTGTGATGTATTTTAGATGGGATTGTGGACCAGGAAAAAAAAGGCATTAGGTAAAATTTAGCAAAATCCAAATGAAGTATGGAGTTTGGCTCAGAGTAATGCACTAATTTTGGTTCCTTGGTTGTGACAAATGTGCCAGTCTAAAGTAAGATTATTAACAGGAGGACCAGAGGTATACACAAAGTTTCTATAGTATTTCTGGAATTTTCTGAAAATCTAAAATTGTTCTAAGTGAACAATTCTATTGAAAACAAAACAAAATAAACTCATGCTTATCCAAAGAATCCCAAATCCAAAAGCAAACGGATGAAGAAACTGCAGTAGGCTACATAGCTCTTAACCTGGTCTGGAGGTTCATACCCTCTACAACAAACAAGCAAGTTATTTGCAGCTGGTAGTGGGTGATGACGGAGAGTGCTAGCCAGTTCCCAGTTATCAACAGGCAAATGGCTTTCTGGAACTGCTTGTTTGACAATTAGCCTACTTACAATGAGAGAGGCCTTCCATCACTTAGGTGGCTTCTGTGAAGATCCCAATGTTGGGTTGGACCCGCTTTGAGGCGTGTGGACCTCTGTGACACTTCTGGTGCTTTTCCCTTCTTTTTTTCTTCAATTGAAAAATAGTAATTACAAATATATGATAAAATGTGGTGTTTTGATCAATGTACAGTACACATTATAGAAAGAATTGATCCAATTTACCTATCCATCACCTCACCAATTTATTATTTATTCCTGATGAAAACATTAAAAAATCTAAAAGCACAGGAAAACAGAAACAAAAATGAAATAAATGGGATTGCACCAAGCTAAAAACCTTCTCCACAACCAAGGAAACACCAAAGAGACAACCACGGACAGGAAGAAAATATTTACAAACACCTGATAAGGTGTTAATATTCAAAATACAAAAAGTACTCAACTCCATAGCAAGAAAACAATCCAGTCTTAAAGTGTGTAAAGTATCTGAACAGACATTTCTCAGAGGAAATGCAAATGACCAACAGATGAAAACGTGCCCGCCATCACTAATTTCCCAAGAAGTGAGAATCAAAGCCACAGTGAAATACCAACTCATGCCTGTTAAGGTGGCTTTTTGTGGAAAAGAGGAATGGCGTGTTGGTGAGGCTATGGAGCAAAGGAACCCCTCGCCACTGTGGGCAGGCATGTGAGTTACTAGAACCTTTCTTTTGGTTTTGATGGTCACTTCCTTGGAGCCTTTCTTACACATGACGATAAACTTGCAAATTATTCAGAAATAAGAGACAACCACGCCCACTACAATGAGGAAGAGGGGGACAAGGACAACCCCGTCTGCTACCATGAGGAAGAGGGGGACAGGTGTAAAGCCATGGGGTCTATTTACGTGGTTCATATATTCAAATGAGATCTTAGGATAAAAATCAGTTTCTCATTAGAATAAAAACAAGAGTCAAAATGCAAATGAGCCATCTTGGGTCAACTTCATATTGTACTCGTCGTTGGCAGTAAGCACTCAGAGAGCAAAGGAGGTCAGCACAATTGAGAGAGACTTGATCAAAAGCAAATGGAGGTTGGGGGGGAGGCGGCGGCAGGGAGTATATCAGAGTACCTGGCTTCCGACTCTGGCTCACTGCTAAGTGGTGATGACTCAGAGATTGGGCTCCAGTCACCCACATGGGAGACCCAGACTGAGTGCAGGGCTCCCAGCTTCATTCAACCTGGCCTAGTCTGGGCCCTGCCATTGCATCTGGGGAGTGAGCAGAGGGTGGGAAGAGCTCACTCTCTCTCTCTCTCTCTTTTTGTCTCTACCTCTCTAATAAATAAATAACTTTTTTAAAGATGAAAAAAATTAAAAGAAAGCAAATATTGGGAGGGAGAATGACGGTGGAAAGTGATGCACCTGAGAGGACATCTTCACGTGCACAGACTATGATCCGGCAGCTTGATTTGCTCGTGTGTCAGCAGCCACTCCGGGCAGGTGTTTCAAGCAGTGGGTGAGCTGCCTCTTGGGACGCCCCAGCCCACATCCAAGTGCCTGGGCCTCTGCTTGCAGTGCATCTGCCTGCAATGTGCATCCTGGGAGGCAGCAGGTGAACTAGGCCAGGAGCTGGTTAGGTCCAGGCGAGCTGGAGTTTTCGCCAGCCCTGCAGTATAACTTTTTGCCTTCACCTGTCGGCTTCATAGACCCACAGTCCCAGGATGCACCTGTGTCTCATCCAGAACCAGGAAGGAAGATGCCATGATGACCACATGGAAGTTAAATTCCACATGAATGTGTGTGCACCCGCCTTCTCTCGCTTATAAGTAAATCCTGTTCTCATTTGTGCACTATTCTATACCTTTGATTTGAGTTCTTTTTTTATTTATTTTTTATTTTTTTAAGATTTTATTTATTTGAGAGGCAAGAGTTATAGACAGAAAGAGAAAGATAGAGACAGGGAGAGAGAGGTCTTCCATCTGCTGGTTCACGACTCAATTGGCTGCAATGGCCGGAGCTGTGCTGATCCAAAGCCAGGAGCCAGGAGTTTCTTCCAGGTCTCCCACACAGGTGCAGGGGCCCAAGGACTTGGGCCATCTTCTACTGCTTTCCCAGGCCACAGCAGAGAGCTGTATTGGAAGAGGAACAGCTGGGACATGAGCAGGTGCCCATATGTGATGCTGGCACCACAGGCAGAGGCTTATCTTGCTATGCCACAGTGCTGGCCCCATGAAATAAAAACTATTTTTTATAAAGCTAGAGTAAAATGTAAAAAATTGAAAACAAATCTATCAAAAAGTGAAATAATGAATACCCCTTTTCCTCTCAATTTTCTACATTGCTGTTATCTTGTAAAAAATATTGCTATTGTGAAAAAAAAAGGTGGACCCCAGAGCTAAAATGTTTTTAAAACTGAATCCTACCAGTCATTGGTGTCTTCTATGTTTTAGGCGCTGTGATAGGCCAAACACGTAAGACATTATATAAAGCTTTATAGTTTAGGCCGGCACCGCGGCTCACTAGGCTAATCCTCCACCTGCGGTGCCTGCACACTGGGTTCTAGTCCCAGCTGGGGCGCCGGATTCTGTCCCGGTTGCCCCTCTATCTAGGCCAGCTCTCTGCTGTGGCCAGGGAGTGCGGTGGAGGATGGCCCAAGTGCTTGGGCCCTGCACCCGCATGGGAGACCAGGAGAAGCACCTGGCTCCTGGTTCCTGGCTTCGGATCAGCGCAATGCACCGGCCGCAGCGGCCATTGGAGGGTGAACCAACAGAAGGGGAAGACCTTTCTCTCTCTCTCTCTCTCTCTCTCTCTCTCTCTCTCTCTTTTTCTCTCTCTAACTCTGCCTGTCCAAAGAAAGAAAGATTTACAGTTTAATGGAAGAGACAGACCCCAAAATGGCCAACTTCCACTAGTATGTGTTAAGTGCTGTCAGTGGTTGAATCGGGCCACAACAGGTAACAGAGGGAAACCTAATGATCACAGATGGGGGGAATGTTTTAGGAGTGCTCCACAGGTGATGTGAGGTATGACAATCATCCTGAGTGATGTATAGCACTATTTAAACAAAGAAGGGCAAGAGGAAAAATGGGGGGGGGGGGGCGGAGGTTAGACACATATTACAGACACAGATGAATGAACGTAAAACGGATTCGAGGAATTTTAGGTAGACTGATGAGCCAACTGCAGGGGAGAATATGGGAAGAGCTTAGCGCAGCTCCTTAAGCTACGGAAGCTGATTAAATTCTGAACGCTAGGGGGAGCAGGTGACAGGTGTTAACCAGAGACCCGGCCCACAGAGACAAGGAATGCGGTAAGTAAAACCTGGTGATGGAGGTGGGCCCTGCGGAGCAGCAGCAGGGCTTAGCTGCTGCCTGCCTTGCCAGCATCCCACAGCCACTTCCGATCCAGCTCCTTGTTAAGGCAACTGGCAAACAGCCCGGAATGCCTGCGTGCTAGGGCCCGGCACCCACCTGGGAGCTCTGGATGGAGTTCTGGGATCCCGGCTTTGTCCTGGCCTAGATCTAGTCATTGAGGCCACATGAAGAGGGAACCTGCGAATGGAAGATCTTTCTCTCTGGTGCTCTCTCTTCCCTGAACTCCCAGGCTCAAAGGTTTATGATTTGTTCCACAAATACTGAGAAATTACAAAGTGCCAGCCACAATTCTAATCCTTGCTATTCTATTCTAAGTGATCTACAAGTGCGTTGTGTTTTCTGTCTCCTGCAGTGGGTCCTAAACACGGATTTCCAGTACAGAGCACAGAACGAGTCAGGTAAGGCCATGTCCTCACAGAGCCGGGTTCCTCATTCTCCACACCACTTTCCTCCGTCACCAGGCTTCTTTTGTGTTTTTAGATTTATTTAATTGAAAGGCAGAGTTACAGAGCAGGAGGGAGAGAAATTTTTCATTGAGAGTTGCTTTTGCCTAAAGAACTTTGAAAATATGATTCCAGTGTTCTATGACTTCTGCGGTTGCTGATGAGAAACCCAGGATTTTGTAGGGCAGGCAAAACCTTCCCTGCACCCTTTTGGGATTTTTTTGTTTTCATCTAGTCTTGAGAATTAAATTGACATAAGACATATCAACATTAAAAAAGCATACACACTTATTTAATATGTACAAGTTTTACATGGCCAGGGAGCCTGCATAATGAAATGAAGACCCTCCTGAACTGGGCAAAGAGCAATCAATTATGAAATTTCTCATTCTGGGGTAACTGGGCAGGCGTGTGACCAGAAGATAAAGATTAGTGTAATAACATGTGTGCAGATTTCCCTCAACCTCGGTCGCTCATCGCCACTTACAAGAGTGATCCTTTCCTTCTGGTGTAGGGAGAGCATCTTCCAGGTTGGAATTTCATCTCCTGCTTTTCTTATACCTGTTTTTCAAATGCCTTTAACTCAAAGTCAAGTCTCCCAAGGTAGCACATTTTAGACTGGGGGTTCTGAATCCTTTCAACGTAATTTCTTGTAATGGGTAAAACTAGCATGTAATATGCCTCAGCTGCTGTTAAAGTGTAATTGTTAATAGCAATCTTTTTTTAACATTAGTAATTGTTACCAATGTGGTAATCATAAGGGTCAAATGAAAATCTTACATCGTGCTTGAGTCATATTATTTTGTTTATAGCCAACCAGGTAAGAATGTCAGTATCACTTTTTTTTCTTGTTTATCGTCATTCCTGTTAGATAATACATTTCGACAAAAGGTTAGCTATAAAAACGATGGGGCTGGCAACGCAGCTCAATAAGCTAATCCTCCACCTGTGGCACCGGCACCCCAGGTTCTAGTCCCGTTGGGGCTCCGGATTCTGTCCCGGTTGCTCCTCTTCCAGGCCAGCTCTCTGCTGTGGCCCAGGAGGGCAGTGGAGGATGGCCCAAGTCCTTGGGCCCTGCACCCACATGGGAGACCAAGAGGAGGCACCTGGCTCCTGGCTTCAGATCGGTGCAGTGCACCGGCCATAGTGGCCATTTGGGGGGTGAACCAACAGAAGGGGAAGACCTTTCTCTTTCTCTCTCTCTCTCTCACTGTCTAACTCTGCCTGTCAAAAAAAAAAAAAAAAAAAGGAAGGAAGGAAGGAAGGAAGGAAGGAAGGAAGGAAGGAAACAATGGGACAAAATTCTATGATTTTTTTTCTTCCTTCCTATCTGGAAAATCCTAGAGAAAGAACAGCTAGAAAATTACAATGAAAGGATTCAAGAAGGAAGCTAAGCAGTGGGCTAAGCTCTGCCTGCGGCGCTGGCCTCCCATATGGATGCTGGTTCCAGTTCTGGCTGCTCCTCCTCCATCCAGCTCCCAGCTGGTGGCCTGGGAAAGCAGTGTAGATGGCCCAGGTGCATGGGTTCCTGCACCAGCATGGGAGTTCCTGGCTCCTGGTTTCGGATCCACCCCTCTCTGGCCATTGCTGCCCTCTGGGGAGTGAACCAGTAGATGGAAGACCTCTCTCTCTCTCTCTCTCTGTCTGGAACTCTACATCTCAAATAAATAAATCAATCTTTTTTTTTTTAAAGAAGGAATCCAAATACAAAAATCACTAAGATTTCTATTTATTAAAAGTAGTCAGAAAACTTAATAATAGAGTACCTTTTACTATTTTCCCAAAAGAAAATAAAAAAGGACATCTGGAGATGAATCATGAAACAGGTGTAAAAGATCTGTAAGGGGAATTATAAATTTTTCAAGAGGCATATAAAGATTTCAAAAACATCAAAGGATGCTTCTCCTTAATTATGTATTCACATTTTTATATAAAGATGCTCCTTAACTTATAGTGGGGTTATGTCCTGATAGACCCAACTTACGTTGAAGAAGTTGCAAGTTGAAAATGCATTTGTTACATTCAGCTTACCATAGATCCTAGCTCAGAGCACTGGGCACCACCAAGCAATGATGGGTTCCGCTTGTGACTGCAGGACTGGCTGGGAGCTGTGCCCACTGTCAGCTGTCCTGCATCTGAGCAAGGACTGGACCACATATTGTTAACTGGGGAAAAGATCCAAATCCAAAACCTAAGTATAGTTTCTGCAGAATGAATATCACTTTTGCACTGTTGTAGTTTCAGAAAGTCATAAATTAAGCCATCAGAAGTCAAAGACTGCACATATGTTGTTTTAATCTATATAAACTTTTTTTTTAAAGATTTATTTATTTGAAAGGCAGACCTAAAGAGAGGCAGAGGCAGAGGGAGGGAGGGAGGTTGGGAGGAAGGGAAGAAGAGAGAGAGAGAGAGAGAGAGAGAGAGAGAGAGAGATGTAGGTAGGTCTTCTATCTGCTGGTTCACTCCCCAAATGGCCACAATGGCCAGAGCTGGGCCTATCTGAATTCAGGAGCCAGGAGCTTCTTCTGGGTCTCTCACGTGGGTGCAGGGGCCCAAGGACTTAGGCCATCTTCCACTGCTTTCCAAGCCCATAGCAGAGAGCTGGATCGGAGGTGGAGCAGCCAAGACTAGAACCAGCACTCATATGAGAAGCCGGCACTGCAGATGGTGGCTTTACCCGCTATGCCACAGCGCTGGCTACCCCCCACTTTTAATTTAATGCAATTCTAATTGTATTGCATTAGAGCTAAAAAATGGCATGTAAGAAAAGAACACATAGATTTATCCTGAAAACATAGATGAGATTTTCTATCATCTGGCTTTAAATGCTTAGGTGATAGTGGTCTTTTAAATGAGGAGAAGAAGGCTTTTTTTAAAAAAGTTACCATAAAATGATGCCATTCTTCATTATTTAAAAAAATGCAAATTCAATGAGACTATAACCTGCTACAACAAGTGTCACTTTCATTTGTTCAAGTGGTAAACTAAAACCATTCTTTACATTTTACTTTATTATTTTTATTTTCACTTCGTTTCAAAGCGCAAACAGGCACACAGAGATTTTCCATCTACCCCTTCACTCCCCTAATGCCTACAACAGCCACAGCTGGGCCAGGCTGAAGCCAGGAGCCCAGCACTGCATTGGAGTCTCCCATGTGGGTGGCAAGGGCCCAAGCACTGGAGTCATAATTGATATGGGTCCTGGGATCTCCATCTTTAATCCAGGTTCCTGAACCTGGAATAAACCAGCACCCATATGGGTGCTGGCGTTGCAGGCGGCAGCTTAACCCACTACGCCACAGCACTGGCCCCAAAATGGAAGTTCTTTATAAAAACATACGCATGATCTTATTGTTAAAAACATATTCATGATATGGTGTACCTCGGGGCAACATGACATCCTGCTCTACTGGGGCAATGGTTGGGATGCCCTGGGGACAAATCACACCCCAGTCATCGCGTCTGTCCCTCAGTGCTGTATTCCTACGAGTCTCATCGCCTGGGAGCTACCCAAGCCAGTGCAGGCTGCTTCCTGGGCTCTCTCAGCTGCAGGGTAAGTGGGCACCTGCAGAGGAGGCTCCCTGTGCCCTGGCAGCTGTGCTGAGGCTTGGGAGACGGACTCAGCCTGAATCCTGGGCTTCCGTGGGCCCTGCTGTCACCGGTAAGTACCATGAATAGACCTGATTCTTGTGACTTGTGTGTGTGTGTGTGTGTGTGTGTGTTCTGTCTCCAGACTCAGACATGTAGAGAAAGCGCAGCCAAAGACGCAGCAGCTGACGTGGTAACGAGCGCACAGTGACCCTGCATCTTGAGCATGTCCACTCTGGGCAACAAAAAGGCTGCCGATTGCCCTGGGTGGCCATTCGCAGCCTGATGCTAGGGGGGAGTCTGAGGTCACCTTCCAAGGGCAGCTGGCCATCCCCTAAGTTAGCCTTGCTTGAGAAACACGTGCTGGTCACTTCTTTTGCAGCTCTGGCCTGTGATGTGGCAGATGCCAGGGACAAAGGGCCTCTGCCCTTTCCTACAGACGGGGCCTGGGTGAGGATGGCACGTCCCGTCTCTGCATTCTGGGTGGTCTGCTGTGACTCTCATTGGCTATGCTGGAGACAAGAGGCACTCCTGCCCAGTGCCCACAGCCAGTGGGGTGGGAGTGGCAAGTCCTGGGTTTGAGTCCCGGCTCTGTCCCTCTGTCCCCGAGGGACCAGGGGAAGTGTCTTGACATCTCATGCCTCCATTTTTTTATCAGTAACCTGGAAGGAAGATTCCCTTAGGAATGTTATGTGGCTCTTAACTGCTGACTACTTTGCAAATCTAAACCATAAGCCCCCTCTCCTTCACTTGGTGCACCCTGCCTGCCCAGGATTTACCAATGGATTTCTGTTGTGTGCTCTTCAGTTGACAGCTAGCGGGAGATGGAGTCACACTTGCTGAGCACCTACTGTGTGTCAATTCTGCATTCACTACTACGCCCATCAAGACACAAACACAGAAAAGCCTTCTAAGAGGGGACAAGGGGCCGAGCACCCAGGAACCCACTTCCTGCCGCCTCTGCTGCCTGTGTTTGTCTTCATGCAGCTGGAGAACTTGACTCTGGACACACTCCCATGTCAGCCTGACCAGGAGGAGATGCAGAGGATGAGAGGTGTGGAACGAGCACGCTACAAAAGCAGAGAAGGCTTTTCCCATGAAGACCACAGCAGCCAAGAGTCCTGGCTTAGTACAGCTCAGGGCTTCCAGGCTCAGATTTGGGGACAAAAATCCTTATGGCAGGTTCATCTGTGAAAGCCAACAGGGTGACTGCAGGTGGTACAGGACATCAGTGGGGGAACAGATCGGGGGGGTACTATGGACTGATTGCGTCCTCCCCAAATTCATGCATTGAATCTCTACCTTCCAACATGATGGCATTTGGACCTGGGACTTGAGGAGCGACTGAGTGTAGATAAAGTCACCAAAGGGTGTTCCCTCCCTGCTGCTCTCTCTGCCCCCGTGAGGACCCAGAGAAGGCAGCCATGTGCTAACCAGAAAAAGACCTTTCACCAGAACCCAACCATGCTGGCGCCCCGATCTTGAATGCCCAGCCTGCAGGCCTTTGGGAAATTTCTGTTGTTTAGTCCGCCCAGTCTGTAACACTTGGCCATAGCAGCCTGAGCACATTGAGACAGTGCACAGTCGTGACTGCAAGGGCTCTGCGACCTCTCAGGAACACCTCTCATTGCTCTTGCCGTCACCTCTGACCTCTTTTCACCTTGCTTGTCTCCACACTCCCTCTGAAATGAGATGCTCTGGCATCTGGAAGGGAGATCTCAATGGAAAAAAAAAAAAAAGACGAACCACCTGGCTGGACTAGAATATCGCCTCCAGAGTGACCACTAACCCAGGGAGTGCCCTTGGGAGAAGAAGCATGCTCGCCTGCCCACTGTGGTCTGACACAGCCCTGAACCTGTGGCAGGACACCTGGAGCCTGGGCTGATTTCCAGTCCTCCTGGCCCAGCACCTTGGCCCTCCTGGCCCGGCGTGGAGTGTATTACCAACAAACGTGGAAGCTCCATGTCTTCACAAAGCACTTAGTGTGTGGTGTGCTGGTTGTCTTTTTTTTTAGCATCTTCTATCCTGCACATTTCAACTGATCCCATAAATAATTGCCACAAACTCAGTGGTTGTGGGTTGATGACAGATTATTCCCAAATTTCGTAAGTTGAACGTTTATTATCTCAAAGGAACTGGGAGGCATCTTTTCTGGGTAGTTTCAGCTCAGGCCCACTGAGGGGGCCGTGGTGACACGGCCAACGGGGGCTGCAACCGGCTCCAGGCTTGAGCAGGCTGGAAATCCATTTCCAAGTTCACTCCCAGGGCTGTCAGCCAGGGGCTTCAGTTCTTGCTGTTGGACCCCTGTCGGGCTGCTCACAGCAGCTGACTTGCCCAAAGCAAGCAGTCAGGAGAGGGAGACCCTGTGGTCTAGAGGGAAGCTGCTTGTCTTTTAGACCATGGTTCTTTCAGTCACACGCCATAGCTGTGGTACAGAGTGACAACCCAGAAGGGGGAACTGTTTGCCTCCTTTGCCATCGAACGAGAACACTTTGGGTAACCTTGTGTTGGTCGGCTGAAGTGTTTTGCCAGCTTTCAGGTCAGAAGATTGGCCTGGCACACTTGTTCAAATAAGGATTCTAGGCTTCATCAAGTCCTACCAGAGCTTTCAAAGGTGGTGGGCTGTTTATGAAAAGTGCTTCTGGTGGTCTCAATGACCAGGAAAGTTTGGGACGCATGTGAGATCAGAGAGCAGCCTGGGGAAAGGCACCGCCAGGCCTGCAGGTTCCACGGGGAAGGCTTCGGGAGAAGAAGCCCTTATCACGTTCTTCCTTGAACATTTCTGTAGGTCTCCTCCTCCAAGCTGGCGCTTGGGTTTCCCAGCCTCCACGCTGACTCCTGTGCCACTCAGACTGGCATTCTCATGCTCTCTGTTCAGATATTCTCTGGGGTCCTGACAGAATGCCACTTTTTTACCTGTTTATAAAATATTCAATGCTCTTTGCTAAGTGTCTGAGAAGACGAGGACAAAGCTTAGAGGAAAAATAAAAGCAACAAAATCCAAAGTATAAGCCGGCGCCGCGGCTCACTAGGCTAATCCTCCGCCTAGCTGCGCCGGCACACCAAGTTCTAGTCCCGGTCAGGGCGCCGGATTCTGTCCCGGTTGCCCCTCTTCCAGGCCAGCTCTCTGCTGTGGCCAGGGAGTGCAGTGGAGGATGGCCCAGGTGCTTGGGCCCTGCACCCCATGGGAGACCAGGAAAAGCACCTGGCTCCTGGCTCCTGCCATCGGAACAGCGCGGTGCACCGGCCGCAGCGCGCCGGCCGCAGCGGCCATTGGAGGGTGAACCAACGGCAAAGGAAGACCTTTCTCTCTGTCTCTCTCTCTCTCACTGTCCACTCTGCCTGTCAAAAAAAAAAAATCCAAAGTATACTCACTAGGCTTAGTTGGCTTTATGCTGCTATCATAGAAAATTGATAAACTATAATGGATAATTTATGACATGCGTAAGTCAATTTCCTCAGAGCTCTGGAGGCTGAGAACTGACCTTTAGCTGTATCATCCCATGGTGGAAGGAGAAAGAGCAAGAGAGGTGGTGAGGAGGGGACTTGTTCTACAAGGAATTCACTCACACAATTAAGAATGCACACCTGTGAAAATGGCATTAATCCATTTCACATACTTCTTAAAGGTCCCGCCTCCAACACCTCTGCACTGAGAACCAAACTTCCAACACGTGAAGTTTGCAGATCACAATCAAACCACAGCGCACACTGTTAACATTCTGTTGGAGATGTTCCTATACACTTATGTAAATGATGTATTGAAATTGGGATCGGCCTATCTATAAATTTTGTATCTGCTTTTTCACTTTGTTGTATTGTAAGCATCTTCCCATTTCATTACAAAGTTACAAAAAAATGACATACTGATTACATGACCTCTACTATCATTTGTTTAGCTATTTCCTTACTATTAAGGCAATTTAGGATTTTTTTTTTTCTTGGAGGGTGTAGAGAGGGTTCATGTTTATAAGTAGTCTAATAATAAACTTTTTACAAAGTGTTGAGACAAAATGGATTGTCTTAGGCTAATCAAGAACCAAAATGAGAAGAAGCCTGGAGGAAAGGCAAAGTGAACTAGCCAGGTACCCTGTTCCGGAAAAAAAGCCAGAAGATTACAATGGCTTCCCCCCCAATAACTCCCACCCGCAACCCTCCCCTTTCCCACTCCCTCTCCCCTTCCATTCACATCAAGATTCATTTTCAACTCTCTTTATATACAGAAGATCAGTTTAGTATATATTAAGTAAAGATTTCAACAGTTTGCATCCACATAGAAACACAAAGTGAAAAATACTGTTTGAGTACTAGTTATAGCATTAAATCACAATGTGCAGCACATTAAGGACAGAGATCCTACATGAGGAGTAAGTGCACAGTGACTCCTGTTGTTGACTTAACAAATTGACACTCTTGTTTATGGCATCAGTAATCATCCTAGGCTCTTGTCATGAGTTGCCAAGGCTATGGAAGCCTTTTGAGTTCACCGACTCTGATCATATTTAGACAAGGTCGTAGTCAGTGTGGAAGTTCTCTCCCCCCTTCAGAGAAAGGTCCCTCCTTCTTTGATGACCTGTTCTTTCCACTGGGATCTCACTCTCAGAGATCTTTCATTTAGGTCATTTTTTTTTCCCCAGAGTGTCTTTTTTTTTTTTTTTTTTTTGACAGGCAGAGTGGACAGTGAGAGAGAGAGACAGAGAGAAAGGTCTTCCTTTGCCGTTGGTTCACCCTCCAATGGCTGCCGCGGCCGGCGCGCTGCGGCCGGTGCACCGTGCTGATCCGATGGCAGGAGCCAGGAGCCAGGTGCTTTTCCTGGTCTCCCATGGGGTGCAGGGCCCAAGCACTTGGGCCATCCTCCAGTGCACTCCCTGGCCACAGCAGAGGGCTGGCCTGGAAGAGGGGCAACCGGGACAGAATCCAGCGCCCCGACAGGGACTAGAATCTGGTGTGCCGGCGCCGCTAGGCGGAGGATTAGTCTAGTGAGCCGCGGCGCCGGCCATCCCCAGAGTGTCTTGGCTTTCCATGCCTGAAATACTTTCATGGGCTTTTCAGCCAGATCCGCATGCCTTAAGGGCTGATTCTGAGGTCAGAGTGCTGTTTAGGACATCTGCCATTCTATGAGTCTGCTGTGTAACCCACTTCCCATGTTGGATCATTCTCTCCCTTTTTTTGTTCTATCAGTTAGTATTTGCAGACACTAGTCTTGTTTATGTGATCCCTTTGGCTGAAGAGCCAAATTTGACCAGTGAACTGCCACCTACAGTCAGCCAATCAAACTGAGATATTCATACTAGCTTATTTGCATAAGCCAATAAGACCTGAACAAGTCTGAATCTCCTTCATTTGCATAAGAATGCCAGAGTGAGAATCTGGGTCGGATTTTTTTTTTTTTTAAGATTTCTTTCAGGGGCCAGCATTGTGCCATAGCTAGTTATGCTACTGGCTGGGATGCCTGACATTGCATATAGGCACTGTTAGAGACTTGGCAAGTCTATTTGGGATCCAACTTACTGATAATGGGCATGGGAAAGCAGAGGAACATAGCCCAAGGGCTTGGGTCCTTCCACCCATGTGGGGGACCCAGAAGACCCTGGCACAGTCCCAGCCATTGCAGCCATTTGGGGAATGAACCAGCAGATGGAAGATTCTCGAGCTCTTGCTAGCTCACTCACTCGTTCCCTGTCTCTCCCCTGTCACTCCCATTACTCTGCCTTTCAAATAAATTTTAAAAATCTTTAAAAATATTTATTTCAAAGGCAGAGTGAACCCCTCCGCCTCCCCTCCCCACTGAAACAATATGGACTACAAGCCAATCTTGTCTCCTCTGTCCCCCTGTCCAGCTCATTCTGAAACAAATTCAGCCCTGTAAAACATGTCCTTTCATCTATAAATATTTCATCACGTATGCCGAAAAGACAATGTTACTTTTCTCTCTAAAGTGCCAAACTTGCTGCAACTCTACAGGGAACTCTCTGTACACTGGGTAACCAGGTTTGTTCCGTATTATTAGTAGCCTACAAGGCTCTGCGTTTTATATAGCTTTGAGATTTATCATTCTTTTTGTGCATGTTAATGAGAGTTAGTATTAGGAAATCAAACATTCTCTTGTGCCCTGCTGAGTGTCTTAATTAGACTCAAACATTCCACTCAATTCTTGTCCTTGGGGTAAGTTGCTTTCCTGATGATGTCTAGGTAAATTCTAGAAAACACCAATGAAACATCAACACAGGCTTCAGTTTTCAGGTTCTGACTTGTTATTGGAAAACATGGCTCCAGGTCATACCCAGTCCCTGCAGAGCCTCTGGTCTTCACCCCGGCTGATGTCTTTCTGTGGCCTCATCCCTTATTCTACAGCAACCTCCTTCTCCCACTGTCAGAACACAACCCAAGTGAATCCAAGAGGTGTTTACTTTTTGCCATTGACAAGGCCAAGTGACTGACAGGTGATTGATGGCTTTCTAGGACGTGTAATGGGGGTTTTGATTGAGTTCTTTTTTTTTCTACTTCACCTGCTCTAGCTCGCCTCCAAACTTCATGGAAGACAGAGCCACAAAAGATTGGACCAGATGCCTGAGGACAGTGAGTCAGGGTGAGTGAGGGGAGGTTGAGGGCAGGAGACCCTGGGTAGAAGGAGCCTCGTCCTCCTCGAGAGGGGACTCCTGGGCTGGTCAGGGTGTTTCTCCTCCTCCTGGCTTCCCAGGGCTCCTGAGCCCACCTTCCCCGACATCCACCTGTCTCTCTGCCTTCCCCTCTACCTGTAGAACCACTTGAGCACAACAGATGGGGCTGCAGAAGAACCACCAGGCAGCCTGATTTGAAAAGATGGCCTAGGCAGAGAATTTCCCTTTCTATACCCCGCCCCAACCCCTGGCCTTCTACCTGAAACTCCCTGCTTTTTGGACCACTAAAGGATCAGACCCAGCTACCTGTGATGGTCCACACACAGTGATGGGGAACTGTCCCTTGTGAAGAGACTCAAGGCTCAGGCTAAGTCAACTGCCTTTGAGTATTCCCCCCAGGGAAAGCGTGCCAGATCCATGCCACTCATCCGGAGAGACAGCAGCTCCTCTTCAATGAGCTGATCAGAAGGGCAGAGGGGCCACTGGGCCTTGCGCTTGCTGCATCTAAGTGGTTAGAGAGCTGGTCATGGTCACTGGGAGACAGAACAGCTTCCCGCCCAGAGAGAAAGAGCATCAGGTGCCCCACCATGAGCTGGGATTACAAGTGAGAGCCCAAAAGTCCTTACACAGCACGGAAGCCAGACTGAGTTCCAGTCGTGGCTACTGTACTCACCAGCCCTTGGCATGTCATTGTTACTAAATGCCTTTGGTTCTTTGGCTTCTCAGCTCTACAGAAAACCCCCGAAGTCCAAGGGTTCTGCACCTGCTGATTCAACCAATGTCAGAAAATACTGGAGAAACAATTGTGTCTATCCTGAATGTGTAGACTTTTTCCTTGTCATTATTTTCCTAAACACTACAGTCTACCAACTATTTACATAGCATTCTCCAGGCATTGCCTAATGTGCCAGGAGAGCCAACTGCCATGGGTCGAGAACCACTTACCTCACCTACCATACGAATTCCAACATTATCAGTAGAGCCCGGTTGCCCTTGATAGCAGGCAGCTTGTGTGCTTTGCCTTCCAGGACAGAGTTTAGTCTACCTAGGGTCAGGTAATAAATTTAAGTCATGGTATCTCTTTTGTCTCCTTGAAGTTGGACTATTTCCTCAGCTTTTCTTTTTTAAATATATTTATTTACTTGAAAAGCAGAGAGAGAGAGAGAGAGAGAGAGAGAGGTCTTCCATCTGCTGGTTCACTCCCCAAATGGCCACAAAGGCCAGGACTGTACCAGGCTGAAGCCAGGAGCCAGGAGCTTCTTCTGCATCTCCCACGTGGATGCTGGGGCCCAAGCAATTGGGCCATCTTCTGCTGCTTTCCTAGGCACATTGGCAGGGAGCTGGATTGGAAGTGAATCAGCCAGGACTCAAATTGGCATCCATATGGGATGCTGGCCTTGCAGGAGGTGGCTTAACCCATAAAGCATAATGCCAGCCTCAGCTTTTGTGGTTTTAGTGTCTTTTTTAACCCAGGAAGGAGCCATTAGTCATGTGTGTGTCTTATCTCCCCTCCTCTCTGCTTCCACTCATATACTGATGTAGGAAGCATAATAAGACATCAAAAAAAATTTGTTGACAAATAAAATCCAACATACACTTCCCCTGAGCACAGTACTGGGTAGTCCCATGCCGTAACCCTTCTAAGAACTCTGTGAGTAGTTACGCCCAGCCCAGCTCCATTTTACAGGTCAGGAAACTGAGAAACATTCTGCCATGGGCGTGCCTGGGGGTTCAGTTGTCTGCCCCCAAAATTCGTATGTTGCAGTCCTAACTCTCAGAATCTTCTAATATAATCTTATTTGGAAATGAGGTGGTTGCATTTGCAATAGGTTGGGCCTATCAGCTAAAAGGACTTATCCTTATTAAAAAAAAAAAAAAGGGTGGGGGGTGGGGTAGCATGGACCGAGACAAAACACAGAGGAAAGCCAGGTGAAGATGCAGGCAAAGGCCATGGTGATGTTCCCACAAGCCAAGAAATGCCAGAGATGGCCAGCAAACCACCTGAAGCTTGATAAGAGACATGGACCAGTCTCCCGCTCACAGGAACCAACCCTGCTGATACCTTCATCCCAGACTGCCAGCCCCACGTCCTGTAAAACACGGAACTTCTGTGGTTTAAGCCACAGTTGTGACAGTAAGATGTAGAAGGCCTAGGAAGCTAATACAGGCTCCCCGTGAGTTCCTAGAAAAGCCTAGATTTGAGTCCAGCCCTTCAGACTCAATCCAACACTCTTTTCTCGGCAAACCAGCAGTCTCACTTCCTGGGGGACTGACAACTTCCGCCTGCCTAGTCAAGGACTGCTTCCTGGAGGAGGTAGGCTTTGCACTGAAGAGTGTTGGGGTCAGTGTCGTGGTGCAGCGGGTTAAACCACCACCTACAATTCCAGCATTCCCTGTGAGTGGAGGTTCAAATCCTGGCTGCTCCACTTCCAATCCAGCTCCCTATGAAGAGCATGGGAAAACAGCAGAGGACAGCCCAAGGGCTGGGCCCTGCGCCACCCATCTGGGAGACTGGGATGGAGTTCCAGGCTGGCTCCTGGCTTCAGCCTGGTTGGCCACGGCAGCCATTTGGGGAGTGAACCAGCAGCTGGAAGATCCATGTCTCCCTTCCCCTGTCACTCTTTCAAATAAATAAACCTTTCAAATCAATCACTCAATCATTAATAAAGAAAAGATGAGTACTGTTATATGTGGGGAGTGAGTATTGTTCAGTGTAGGAAGGTTGCTCCCCAGCCTGGGTGTGACCCGGGACCCATGCAAAGGAGCACCTGGTGAAAACTCCTGCATTCCCCAGGTGCTGCAAACACCAGCTGGTAGCGGGTTATAAATCTGCCAGAGGTGAAAGCGAGAGCCAGCAGGGGCTTCAGAGTTCTGCGAAAATGATGGCGCCAGTAATCAGTCACTCAAAGGCTTCCTTAAAAGCAGGTTCATTTGACTGGGGGCAGGACCAGGACGGGGCAGGGCGGGGGGGAGCAGGTAGGTGGAACCCATCCGACAGCCCAGTTCTGTTAAGCGGGGGCCTCTCTCCTGAGTCGGTCACCTGCACCTTCACATAATCAGGGATGATCGCTGTGTTTGGAAGGCCACTCCGTGTACCCAGTCAAGGTTAAACAACAAAACAGGCAAAACATTTGGAGATGACGTTTCCTTGTCCTAAAAAAAGGAAGTTTTCCAGAAAATGTTCAAGGGACTGGCAAAAGCAACCAGTCTGCGTTAACTGAACCCCTGCACTAACCAAGCCAAGACCACAGACAGGGCTGGCTGGTCTGATTGCCATAGAGGCTCAACAGTGACGGCAGTAGGCCCAGGAAGTGCTTATGGACACACAGATGGAAGATGAGTCAGCCAGCTAGGAAGCTTCCTTCCGTTATCTTCCTGAGAATCTACATCTGGTAAAGGTCATCAGCACCCGCTGAGCAGGGAGCCTGGCCTGCCAGCCCCCGGTGACAGGGTGCTGCGTCTAATTACAGGCTGCTCTGTGTGACCGCACAACCACCACCTTGTCTGCCGCTGACTCAGTCCGCAGTTGCACAGCTGCTGTAATCTGGCCGCGACAGCTGCGGCGGGCTGCCAGGTCACCTCCCTGAACAGCGGTATCCTTAGCGATACTAACGCTTCCCTGGGGACTGCTTTGACTGTGCGTGCAGGCATCAGTGCTGACTCAGAAAGGCCCAGATCCACAAAAATGATACAAAGACTGTGTACCAGGCGAGAGTTTCCTCCCAAACCCTCCTTCCCTCCCTCTCCTCCTACCTTGTTTACAATAAGGTTGGCTCGTGAGTTTTCTGCCACCTGCACTGGAATAACTAGGAGAGTAACATTTAGACTGAACTTCTAGAAGGAAGTGGACATTCTATTCAGGTAGATGAAGGGGGGCTGTGTGCATCCACTGGTCACAGAATCTTCACGACGCCTGGGATAAGGGAGCCCTGATGCGACTCCGGGCGGGCTGCACTGCGAGGGGAGGCTGTCTCTCTGGTCTCCTGCCTTGAAGCTACCTCACAGGGTGGGCACCAGCAGGAAGCTGGAATCCGGAGCAGAGCTTGGTGGGATGCAGGGATGCAGGTGTCCCAAGCAGCATTCTCATGTTTATGCCAAATGCCTACTGCTCAAGACCGGATTCTTTTTTCTCATTTGTATAGGGTTCTTTAATCCCTATTCATGCTATTTCTGATCTGATATTATCTTAACATTAGATGCATTTGTGTGGTCCACATGAGCTACGTTTGCTATAATACTGTCTACAGCCATGCACACAAATCCCTGGACCCATTTTAGTTCATAAGAGCCCATTTCAGCATTGAAATGTCTTTGGGCAACAGTCATTAGCAAGTGTTGCAAACAATAATACCCACCACTGAAGTACAAAATGAAAACATTTGCTTGCTCTCCCATCGCAGCAGGTATTTCTGTGGTATTGAGGCTGTGGCTCTGCTTACAAGCCATGGTTTTCCTTAATAATGATATCTTATTGTTTTGAAAACAACTGAGAGAGAAAAGGAGATCCAAACTGTTTCCATATTCTCAAGCAGCATCTTTCTTCCTTCAGTTGTTTTCTGCCTCTGAAAGTGAAGGAAATCGCAAAATATATTCTCATGATGCCTTGCCAGGAATTAAAACTGTAAAGGGTCTTTCCAGACATACCCTGCCTTATTCATGTTCTTGAGGACGATTTGATTAAATGAGAATATTTTCCCAACTTTTTTCCTTGTGAATAACAGAATATTAGAAACACTGCATGAGATTGAGATCAGCTCATATCACAGGTCAGTTGAGATGAGCCAATGGCCAGACAGGCCCCAGCTCTCTGAAGCAGCTGAGCCAGACTGCAGTGACCTGGCACACCCTTAGCTGATCTGGACATGGGAGCAGTCAATGCTGAATATTACGCTGCTGAAGTTTGGGCATTGTCTGATACACAGCAAATTCTATTTGATACCGCCATCATCCCAAAGAGGGTGACCTTAGAGTAAAGACAGCTGGTGTGTAGTTCACTCAGGGGACCAATTAGCAGGAGGGAAAAATCTGTCTTGGGGGCTGACATTGCAGTGCAGCAGGTTAAGCCACCACCTGCAATGCTGGCTTCCCTTATGAGAGCCAGTTCCAGTCCCAGCTGCTCCACTTCTGATCTAGCTCCCTGCTAGTGCTCCTGGGAAAGCAGCGGAAGATGATCCAAGTGCATGGTCCCCTGCACCCACATGGGAGACCCAGAGGAAGCTCCTGGCTCCTGGCTTTGACCTGGCCCAGTTCCAGCTGTTGCAGCCATTTGGGGAATGAACCAGCAGATGGAAGACATCTCTCTCTCTCTCTCTCTCTCTCTCTCTCTCAAATAAAAAAAGTCAGCCAGGATGGTTTAATAGGACTCTCCGATGTGGCCTGAGAGTTGACCACATTTCTGTCCCCAATTGTAGCAGATGGAAGTGCTGTGCTTTCTTGCATAGGTCCCATCTCATCCCCAAGACTCTCCTCCCTTTCCTGAGAGATGAAACACACTGCAGACGCCAGAGGAGGCCCTCAGCCCTTTGTGCAGCTTGATGCTGGGGGTCTGAGGCATCCTGAGATCCTTTGACTGCCCTGTGTTTCAGAAAGTGTATGCATTCCATTGAGAGAAAGCAAAGTTCTCCGAAGAGCAACACACACACACACGCACACACATGCACACACACACATGCATATTCACCAAAAGTGATTCATTCAGTCATCAGTTCTGCAACACGGATTGTACTCAGAGCTGGAAGGAACCTTAGAAATCAGTCTGGCTTTCCATTTTACAAAGAAGAAATATAATCCCAGGAGAGTCAGCTACATTGTCCAAGATAAAATGGGCTAAGCTGGAATTCACATTCAGGACCCCAAACACCAAGGTCAATGCCTCTTCTGCCACACTGCTGTTTGTCAGGAGGCAGAAGAACCTGTGTGCATCAGATGGTGAACGGACTTAAATTCTCCTTCCCCATCTTCCTCTCTTCCTAACCCCCCACATAGCCACCCCATTCTCTTCCTCTGTTTTCAAACTCGCCCTGACTTGTCCCCAGCTCCAGCCACACTACTGCTGCATTATTCCTTCTCCTTCTCTTGGATCTGCCCGTCCCCCAGTGACTCAGTGATGTCCACCATAGACCAGTTGGCTTTCCTGGCTTCTGTACCCAACACCCAATACCCCCATTCTGCATGAAAGATAAAATTCTTAATAGGCGAGTGCAGGACAGGATGTGAGACCACTGGGATTTGGTATCTGTGATACTGGTGATATGCTTACCACCCAGGAGGCTGATGGTATCCTGTGTTTATGAAAGACACACTATTTCCTGAGTGAGAAATGCACATGTGAACGAAGCCTACTTGCCTCAAAGGCCACAGGTGGCATAAAGGAACAGAGGCTGTCAGTTTGTGATGCCAGACACATGGATACCAGCATGGCAGAGTGGCCAGTGTCATCTTCATTTTCACAACAGAAAAGCAGGTGAGAAAATATTTAAAATAAAAGGGACCCCAGGAAAAACCAATGAAGCACTAATTCTCCTCGAAAAGGAAGATACTGGACAGATTCATTCATGACCACATAGATGTGGAGGCTGGGGCAGCAATGCCAGGAAACACCCCAGCCTTCTGGAAGGTCAGCCTCTGCTCTCAAGTCTGTGGCATCTCCATCACCAGTCTCCACTGTTGGACTTTTTCATCACAATTTAACAAAATGAAATACAATAAGGACAGGTCTGATTTGAGTTTGGGGGATTATTATTTAACCAAGAGGATGTCTCTAAATCCCAGAAATGCTCCTTCCAAAAGCCCGAG